ATTTGCTGTCTGTCCTCGGCTGTTGGTCATGATCATAATATTATGATCATGACCACCATTCTTGGGCAGGCAAAATAATAAATAATAGGAGAAACAATACACGTGCATGTAGCTCTCAAAGACTAAACAATATGAAAAATAATACTAGTACTTGTAGCTCTTAAAGGCAAAACAATAGGAAAAATAATACTAGTACATGTAGTTCTTAAAGAAAAAAAAAACAATAGGAGAAATAATACTAGTTCATGTAGCTCTTAAGCGCTAAACAATATGTGAAAAATACTAGTACACTTAGCTCTAAAAAGCTAAACAATAAGAGAAATAATACTAGTACATGTAGCTTTCAGAGGCTTATCAATATGATAAACGATACTAGTGCATTTCGCTCTTAAATGCTTATCAACAAGAGAAACAATACTAGTACATGTAGCTCTTAAAGGCAAAACAATATGAGAAACAATACCAGTCTTTGCACATAGCTTTCAAAAACCAAACAATAAGAGTAACAATACTAGTACATGTAGTACTTATGAGTGAGTTTACTTACTCTGGTGTTGTAAACACTGCATAAAATATAGTTGTAGTCTTACCATTTTCTTCATATGAAATTTTAAAAGTGTCCTCTGATGAAGTAAACAAGAATTATTTAATGGGTAGGTAACCAATCTCTAGGAATTAAAGTGTAAATTTGTAATCACAGTAAAATCTTAATGAAATTACACTGTTATAGAACAAACATTTATACTTACGAATATTGTTAAAATCAAATGGGAATTTACCCGGAAAAGCACAAATAATTCGTGCTTTAAGGAATGTTGTCCAGATATTTTCCAAGACATGATTACTACCACCCTTGTCCTTTTTACAGACTTTTGCAACTCTTGAGTAAACAACCTATGTGAAAAAAAACAAAAAATAATGAAGAATGACTTTTCTTCAAATCTTCAATTTATATTACACCTCTGATTCTCTCAGTATCCAGAGTGAAACCCCCTAGACATATTACAAGGGACTCAGGTCATTCCTTATAAGATACTTCATGTAACTGCCCGTTATAGATTTTACTAAATTTACGGTGACAATAATATTTTGTAATAATAGGTAATTCTTGTACCAAGATTGTGGACTATATACTACAGTACTCATTACCCAACTTCCTGCTCGCTTTTTGATCGTTTAAAGACAAAGATTTGAATTCTTGCATGCTACTAATCCGGCTTACATGCATCGGTTGATTCAATTAGTTGATGGTGAGTTCACATAATTACAGATTGACCCTACACTGCCATGACTGTCCATTATTGGCGACACTAATATGTTATTGTTTGTATTGTGTAAATTGCATTAATCTCATGATAATACCTAGCATTGGTCGGTATAGTGAGAACTTCATGCACACATCAAGCATCGTTCTAATGTAGCATTGTAATAAGTTAGCAAATCTGTCAAAACAATAATGTTGTTACGCCAAGCTTTGTACTTTTGTTTTCCCCCATAAATATATAATAAGTTCAGATTAATTTAGATGCAATTTGTTTTATATTATGTGTAACTATCATCTTTCGCTATGTACAGATTTAACAAATTGCAATACACAAATAAAAATGATGTTGTTATAAAAGAGAATTAAACGCTGAGGCACATTTTGGTTTGGACAAATTTGCTTCAATACTCAATGCTTGTATACAAACCTTTCCATAGTTGCTGTATTCCATAGCAATTTCCCGAAGAAAAAACAAAACTTCCTCACCAATATCAAATGAAGAGATAAAATCAGGATCTGTACGTATGTAGGGCATGAACATATTGACTTATATCGTACTAAACAGATAATGTTACAAACATAAGAATAGCAAATATTTAATAGTGAAGACGATATAGTACAATCTAAAATAAAATAAAATAAAATAAAATATAATAAAATAAAATAAAAAAAATAAAATAAAATAAAATAAAATAAAATAAAATAAAATAAAATAAAATAAAATAAATAATCATTAAGAAATTTGTATTTCAATGCAAACAAATTCTCCTGTACACAGCTTTTTAATCAGGAATGCCATTAAAGTTTCAAATCGTGAAAATGAAATAATTTTAATTACAACTTTGTCTGGTGGTATGAGATTGTATTCATTCTTTTTATTTCATATTCATTTTCTAGAACAGCAAAGTATCACCAACATGTTGTTTCTAATTTTCCGGAACCTAAAGAGATAAGTATCAGCAACATGTTATTTTCAATTTTCTGGAACATAAAATAAAAATGTATCACCAACATGTTGTTTCTGTTTTTTGGTCACCATCATGATTTAGTGGCTTTCTATGGGTATTCTGTCTGTAACATGATTGCAGATTTGTATTTTGATTGATGTATGTGGTCGTGTTTGTCCTTGTGACTTGGTGGGGTTGTTTGTCCAGTAAACTGGATTTGACATTTTTCCCTGACATGACTTTGGAACATCACGGCGGGTGTGGCATGCC